CTACCATCTCAGTTTTGACAGCTTCTAGGATACCTGACAGGACCAGAGGGGGCAGGAACAGTAGATGTATGTTCTGTGTGGATGTATTTGGGGGACCTGGGAGGAGATTGGATAGACTATTGTGGATGAGCTTCCAAGATCATCTAAGACTCTAAGATCATGAAGACGTAGGTAGATATTGAAGAATAAATATAGAAACTGTTTGCTTTTTAAACTCTAGAAGACAAAATTTTAAATATAGAATGATATCTCTTACAGCAATATGTCCTATTGAACTCAGTTATAAATGCAAGATTAAAAAAAACCTCTATAACAAAGAAACAAGCTGTTTTGGCCACTGGAGTGTAATGTTAATTGCAAAGGACTGTCTTACCTTTCTTATTTAATTAGCATAAAATACAATAATAAAGTCAATATACATATGTTAATCATCAAGAATTGCTGGAATTTTAATAAGGTTGTATGGTCACTTACCCAAATCACTTAATCACATCTTGAAAAATATGTAGATAGCACTCATGGGGAATGGAGAAGAGTCATGCTGTCTGGTGTTGATAGGCAATCTAATAAGTAAAATGCCAGTGTCAGATCAGAAGTGAACTATAGGGTTATAGCTTAAGCAGCCTGCATAAAGTTGGAGACAGAATCAGTTTCAACATGACTGCATGGATCTGGAAAGGACATTTTACTACAAATAAAGACAGGGCTCAAAGTCTTGGTTGGAAAATGCATTTTATTTAGGTCAGCATGTAAAAAAGTCTATTCATATCAAAAATAGGGGCAACTAGGGAGCAATTAAACTGGAATCAGAGTCTGCATGACATAAAGCTTGGATGGGACTAGGTCTAAGATAATAACACCCAGGAGATGAGTACGTAAGACAGAACGAGGACCCTGTGAGGAAAAGGAGATGGTGTGGCTGTGCAAGACTTTTCCAGGCTGAGAGCTCAGGTGGTAGACACACCTGTGGTGTCCCAGTTGCAGAGCTTGATACACGAGGAAAGCAATTTGCCATTTGTTTAAGAAAGTGAAAAAGATCTCTGGCTTAGGCCCTTTGATGGAAGTGACATCATTTTATTGTAAACTGTAGCCTATTCTTTGCAGCAGTGCTAAACATTCTTCCAATAACAGAATTTAGCAGAAATGTGTTGTTCTCTTCTTCACCTCAGGAGTTTTCAGGACTCTATCATTGCTCCACACTGATTGTTAGAAAATAGGAGTGAGGAGACACAGATAATGGTCAATTATAAATGAGTGATGAAGTCTACTTAAATAAAAAGAAAAACAATTATCCTCTAGAAAGAGTATTTTAAAATAAAAAATGTTTCCAGGTCACTTTTATATTTATAAAATTGTAAACATTTTTATGAGCAACTCAGATTTATAAATAGATTTTACACCACAAATGTGGTCTTGATAACTACTACAAATGTCTAAAGATTTTTAAACTTCATTATTTTTGTCAATAAGCTTTGCATACAAGTGACATTCATGTCTCCATGGTAACTAATGCATGTGAATGTTGGTTCAGAACCTCAGGAGTTCAAGGCTGAAATTAGAAACTGACCCCAGTCCATGGAGGGCAGGGAGAGGCCATAGACATAGGCAGGCCACTCCAGATGGGTAGGTGGCAGGTTAACAAGCAAGGGAACTTACATAGGAAGGTTGTCCTGGGTGCTGCAAGATGAGCACATCTCCATACCCGCCTGCCAGAATCTTAAAAGTTTTAGAGAGGCTTGAATAGTGCGCGGTTACTTCTTCAGTTCAGATGGTCTCACAAACCCACTGCTCTCTCAAGGTTGTGTCCTTGAAAACGGATGCTAGTGTGGGAACGGTGGGCTGAACCGACATTCCAAAGACAAGGGCATGGGGAGGAGCCTGGTATTCCCAGGGAATTGCAGCTGGAGGGTCCACGACAGTCATATCCTCTCAATGACCTCCTTCCACAGAATCACACTTTAAATATAAAGACAAATACTTCAAAAGTAAAAAGATAGAATGAGATACCATGCTAACACTAATTAAAAAAAATAGCTGGAGTGGCCAGCCATATCAGTGTCAGAAAAAGCAGATTTCAACTCAAGGAATATTATTACGGATAAAGAAGTTCATTTCACAATGATAAAGAGATTAATTCATCAGGAGTACAGAATTCTAAACATTGTGCAATCAAAACAAAAATTCTAAACACATGGAGTAAAAGCAGACAGAAATCTATAGAAAAACATAACAATTCACAACTATAGCTGGAGATTTCAACACCTCTCCCTCTGTAATTGGTAGAATCAATTGTGTTAGTCAGTTCAGGTTGCTCTGACAAATTACCATAGGCCTGAGGGGCTTATCAACAACACAAATTTATTTCTCAGAGTTCTGGAACCTGGAAGTCTGAGATTGAGATTAGGTTGCTGGCATGGTCCTACTGAGAAAGGACCTCTTCTGGATTCTGGAAGATGGTCTTCTTGTTGTATCCTCACATGGCAGCTGCACTCTTTTTGTAAGGGCACTAATCCCACTCATGAGGGCTCCACCCTCATGACCTAATCACCTGTCAAAGGCACTTCCTCCTAACAACATCGTATTGCGGGGGTTAGATTTCAACATATGAATTTTGGAGGTACACAAACATTCAGTCCATAGCAAATAGAGAAACTAGACTTTCATACAAATTGTAAAGCAGGAGTTATAACTGAGCATAGATTTAAACAAATGATACAGTTGAAATTCTCTGTTTTCTGGCACAAACCAATACTTTTAGATGTATTGTTTCATGAGGAATGAGTGTTGCTATTTCCCAAATGAAAAAAAGAATTAGCAAATGACTTTAATCCCATGTTTAAATTTCCAGTTTATTTGAAAAAGGTATGTAAGAGGTACACTAGATTATGAGTGTAATAACATATACAGCATTTACTTCACACACCTTTCCAGAAGATGAAGCTAATCATTTATGTTCTGAAAAGTGACAACTTTAATTCAAGATGTAAAAGTAGCCGCATTCTATTAAGGCAATCTTCTTGAACTATGATGTATCAGATGGGCCTGGGGAAGCTGGAAAAGGCATGCTTCTGCGACAGCAACAGAATCACTATTTCAGAATCAGCTGTCTCCACGTAAACAGAGTGCTCGCCAATGGCAAACCAGCATTTATATCTCACTTTAAAGAGAAAAATTACCTTTGGGAACTGAACCAATATTGACATCCTTAATAATATATTGCCTATATGCTTGAATAGCATAATCATTTTTTAAAACCTTATCAGAATCTCTTGTGTATTTGAAACCACTGTGATGACTGCATGAGCAGAATGTGATGGGACTAGCTCGAATACATACATGATGTTTGTGATTCATGGCTTTTTCTTTATATATTTTTTCTTTTACTGTCTTCTAATAACTATAAGATGATAATGTAGGAACTTAGCTATATGATAGAAATAAACATATATCAAACATACCACCTATATTTGAGAAATATAAACAAGTTAGTGATATAAAGCCTGAACTGTCCGCTCAATAAATCTACATTAGTATTTTAATAGATGCCTTTTGTTTGATGTCTGTAGTTTACGTGCCAGTTACCAGAGCTAACTTTTGGGAAGGTAAGTTTGTGCAAAGTTCTTCCTCCATAAAAATCTTACACTATAGACAGGCATGAAATGGTTTCACACATTGTGCAATACAATAAGCAGAAGCATGTACTGAAACAAGAAAACAATTAGTTGACAAACTATTATTTTACTTTTCATTCCCAGTCATTCTTACTATCATTTTACTTTTCATTCCCAGTCATTCTTACTATCCTACATTATTCTTAGTACCACGGTTGAAGTGCTTCGATAAATTCAATGATTTTGTAAATTATTTTTATAAGAATTAAATTTGACTTGGGACTCCACTCTTGTCAATAGTGTATGGAAAACATCTCCATGGCAAAATGTGGACAGAGAAACATGTTTCCAGAGCCAACTAAGAACACAATTTGGGGTGTGGGGGTGGAAGCCTTCTATTTTGTTATGAAAATGGCAATGGAGAGCAGCAGTGTCCTAGACTAGGGCAAGGCTGGTCTTTGTCCCTGCTCGTCCTGTCCCATGCTGAAGTTCTATTTTGGAGCAGATTTCAGGAGAATCTCGGAGGCTTTCAAATACCAGAAGGGGACGGACTGTTTGGCCTCTGAATCTGTAAAAAGGGTCACTCATCTGCCATGGTCCCCGCGGTGGCCTTTGTTCTGGCCCGGCTGTCCACGGGGGAAGCCCACCCAGGTCACGGCTCCCCGGCCACTGGGCAGAGGATCCATGTCGGGGCCACCCCTTTTCCCTCCTCCTCCCACGCTTCTCGCCGAAGTCGGGACGGAAAAGTTTGCAGAGTGAGCCCCATTCTTAGATTGCAGCAAAGCGAGAGGCGGGAGAACCCGAAGGGGAGGATCGAAGGAGCTGGAATTGGAGAGAGAGGCGCGGTTTCAGACAACGCGTGAGAGCGTGGGAAGGAGGAAGGCAGGGGGCTTGGGGGGGGGGGGGCCCTGGGGGGAGCGGAAGGAGGCGAGCCCCGCATCCCGGCCGAGGCTGGGGAGGGAGACGCGGAGGGACCGCAGGCCCCCCTGGGAGCTGGGGGAGCTCAGCCCCCTGGCTGGGGGGCCTCGCGGGGAGGGGCGAGTGTGTTCCCCTACGCCGCGTTCCGACCGGGTGAGTGAGCGAGAACAGTCCACCCGGTGGAGAGCGGCCTCCCGTAGCCCCCGTGGTCCCGGGCAGGGGTTTCCCCA